TAGAAATGAAGTAGAGGAGAATAGAGATTGCTGGTTTTCTGTAGAAAGTTCTGAGAGCCTATGGGCCAGGATGTTGCTGGGCATTGAATTGAATTCAGGGCCTTGTACATACTAAGCTTATGTTTTACCACTGAAGTATTAACTCAGCCCAGTTCTGAGAAATTTAAGTCTTTAAACCAGTCCTTAAAAACAAAGCCAGTAGGTAACCATTAAATGTAACAAATTCTCTGGTACTTACCTATGATTGTACTGCTCTCTACCATGTTTAGGAGAGTTGAAAAATAGTAATTAAAATAATTTTCTGCCGGTGTCAGTTCTCATAGAATCCTAGTTCAAAGGGTAGGTATATATTTAACCTTAATGAAAATAAAAAAATAAAATTTGGGCTATCTGATGACCTGAGGACATATTTTATAATTTTTGTTGTTATTAGGAAGAAAACAGGTCTATTGGGTATATTACAAGGGGCAGCAGTAGCACGAATACTGTTTGTGGTCTATACTGTGGAATTAAAGAAAACTATTGCCAGGCATGGTGGCACATGCCTTTAGTCCCAGCACTCGGGAGGCAGAGGCAGGCGGATCTCTGTGAGTTTGAGGCCAGCCTGGTCTACATAGTGAGTTCCAGGCCAACTGAGGCTACAGGGAGACGCTGTCTCAAAAAAGAACAAAACAAACAAACAAAAAAACTATTGAGGGCTGGAGAGATGGCTCAGTGGTTAAGAACACTGGTTGTTCTTGCAGAAGACCTGGGTTCGTATCCCAGCACCCACATGGCGGCTAACAACTGTCCATAACTCCAGTTCCAGGGGATCTGATGGCCTCTTCTGTTCTCCATGGGCATTGCACGACATGGATGCACTTATCTACATGTAGGCATATACTCATACACATAAAAAATAAAAATATTTAAAAAACCTATTGAATTCTTTAAAAAAATTTTATTTAAATATTTTATGTATTTTGCTTGAATGATGTAACTATCCCACAGAGGCCATAAAAGGGTGTCAGATTCCCTGGAACTAGAGTTATGGATGATTGTTAGCTGCCATGTGGATGCTGGGAATTGAACTTAGGTCCTCTGGAAGAATAGCAAGTATTCTTAACTGCTGAGCCATCTCTCCAGCCCCCCCTTTTAATAAAAAATTATTTATCTGTTTTTTATGTGTATGTATGAGTCTTTTGCCTGTAATGTAAGTACACCATGTATGCATAGTACCCCTGGAGGCTAGAAGAAGGCGGGTTGTTGGATGTCTAAGAACTCAGCCACAGAGGGCTGTCAGCCACCATGTGGGTGCTGGGAATGGAACCTGGGGCCTCCAAAAGAGTAGCAAGCATGCCCAACTGTGGAGCCATCCCTTCAGCCCCCTGTTGAATTGTTAAAACTCTCCCAAAAATCTTGTGTAAAAACAGTTACTTATTAAAGGATTCTAGGTACCAAGATTTTGCTGAATTATTTTAATGAATGAAATCTAAAAAAATAAAAAATCTTTGTTTTTCAGATTTTGTTATGGATGTCAGGGGGAATTGAAAGACCAACATGTAAGTTCACTGGGTATATAAATATTAAGTAAATATGTAAGAAATACTGAGAAAATGGTACTGTAATAGCTGTGATTAGACTGTTGAAGGACAGATTATATTAGGTTATTTCATAAATATAGCTATAGTAAGTAGAGATAGAATAGGAACATGATAATTTAAATAGTAGTTTTATCATTCTCATTTGAATTTTACTATAAAAAGACATTAGTACTTTTCCTTTAGCTTTTAAAACTGCATTGGTTTGGAAATAATTTGGAAAAATTGTAACTTATTTTGAAATTAACACTATGGTGCCATAGATAAAAAATTGTGCTGGGTATGGTAGCACATGCCTTTAATCCCAGCACTTGGGAGGCAGAGGCAGGCAGATCTCTGTGAGATAGAGGTCAGCCTGGTCTACATAGTGAGTTCCAGGCCACTTGGGGCTACAGGGAGACTCTGTCTCAAAAAAAAAAAAAAGTAAAAATTGTGCCAATGAGAAAATACTTTAAACTATTTTGAAGGTAGAACCAGGTACAGTGGCATATACCTGTAATCTCAGCTACTTGGAGGGCAAGGGGTGAGGCAGGGAAAGTGCTTGGACCCAGGAACCCAAGGCCAGCATAGAGAGACCTAATCTTAAGACACAGCACAGTTTGGAACTGGGTGTAGTAACACCCTGAATCCTGGAATTGCAGCACTGTGCCACCATGTCCTACCCACTCTCTCATTTCCTAGAAAAGTTTCATTAAGCTAGGTACAGTGGCAGGTGCCTGCAGTCCCACCTGCTCAGTAGTCTGAAGCAGGAGGATTTTAAGTTCAGGGCCAGTCTGGAGATTATAGTCTTGCGTCTTTTTTTTGGTCTTTTGGAGACAGGGTCTCCCTGTAGCCCCAACTGACCTGGAACTTGTTATATAGACCAGGCTGGCCTCAAACTCACAGAGATCCACCTGCCTCTGCCTCCAGATTTCTGGGATTAAAGGCATGAGCTATCACGCCTGGCTTCCTGCTTTTTTTGAAAAAATTTTTAATAATTTTTATTTTATGTAAGTGCACCCGTGTTGTGCAGTGCCCGAGGAGGTCAGAAGAGGGTGTTGGCTCCCCTGGAACTGGAGTTATGGATGGTTGTTAGCCATCATGTGGGTGCTGGGAATCGAACCCAGGTCTGCTGTAAAAGCAATCAGTGCTCTTAAAAATGTCAAAATGTCAAAGTATTTGGGAGCTTGTATCTAATCCTTAAAATATTTTAGGGTTACCTCTTCAGAGAGGGGAATGTTGGAGGGGAGGGAGTGGGCATGGATTTGATCAAAACATCTTATATGCATGTATGAAATTCTCAATAGTTTTTGTAAAAGATAAAAAAAAAAAGTAATCAGTGCTCTTAACCACTGAGTCATCTCTTCAGCCCCCATAGTCCTGCATCTTAAATAAATAAATAAAATAAAAAATAATTTTTTTTTCCTTTTCATTAAATTTTATATTCCTTGCTCTGGGCATGGTGCTACATGCCTTTAGTCCCAGCACTAGGGAGGCAGAGGCAGGCGGATCTCTGTGAGTTCAAGGCCAGCCTGGGCTATGTAGTGAGTTCCAGGGCTACAGGAAGTGAGTGAGTTCCATAGTGTGTTCCAGGGCTACAGGGAGACCCTGTCTCAAAAAGACCAAAAAAAAAATTTATATTCCTTGGTGCTGGTGGTGTAGCTCAGTAGTAGAGCACCTGCCTAACATGTATGAGGACCTGGGTTTGATTCGTAGCACTGAAAATAAAAATTTTTTACATTTTTCTTTGTCTCAGTAACTTCATCCTCACCCTAACCACCTTTAAAAATCATTTGGCAAGGGGCTGGAGAGATGGCTCAGCGGTTAAGAGCACTGGCTGCTATTGCAGAGGACCCGGGTTCCATTCCCAGCACCCACATGGCAGCTACAAACCATCCTTAACTCCAGTTCCAGGGGAATCCGAGGCCCTCTTCTGACCTCTGCGGCATTGTATGACACAGGTGCACTCACTTACATGCAGGCAATACACTCATACACACATAAAAAAAAAAAGAATGCATGTTAATATAGATTTTTGAAATGTAGTGACTTTTAAAATTTGTATATGATGCTGCTCTAGGAGTCTTTGCCAAAAGCACAAGGACCATATGTGTAATGCTGGTAGAATAATGAATTTTTTATTTTTATATGTCCTATGTGTGTCATTTGACATACTCTCTTTTTTTTTTGAGGCCAGGGCCTTATGTAGCCTAGGCTGGCCTCAAATTCAGTATGTGACCTAGGATGACCTTGAATTTCCAATCCTCCTGCCTCTACTGCCCAAGTGCTAGAATTACAGGTATATACCAACTCTCCTGGCTCTATTTGGCGTATTTTTAAAAGGCTTAATAGAGGAATATAGCTTTTGCAACTGAGAGGTCATTCTCTAAGAGTAACTAAATCTGTGGTAAATTTTTGTGTTTCTCTGTTTACTTGAATTGTCAAAACTAGTGCTGGTTCCAAGCTCATGTGTCTTCCTCAAGTAGATCCTTAAAAGGAAGAACTCAGAATTTTCTTTAATGGAATAGACTGTAAGGACTCTAAACCAAAGTCGCCCCCTCATTTCTGAGCCAGTTTAAAGGGAAAAAAATGGTGCTAGGTTTGAGAATACATGGCACATTGGAAGTAATAAGGTAGCTAGGTGTTGGGGGGAAACTGTTAGGACTATAAAGATCAAAACAACTTGAGTCTTCTGGCTATGAGACACTCAACTTTTGCAAACCTGTTTATTCACCTTTCTCCTCTTCATTGCAGGTCTATGTTTGCACAGTGTGCCAGAATGTTTTCTGTGTGGACTGTGATGTTTTTGTTCATGACTCTCTCCACTGTTGTCCTGGCTGTATTCATAAGATCCCAGCTCCATCAGGTATTTGATTTCAACATGTAGGACACATACATTGTGTGTGTTAAAAAGAAATTTGAAACTGTAAATAAAATGATTCTTTAAATAAACTGTCTAATTAAAATATGAAGAACAGCTTGAGGGGAAAATCTGATTTAAGAAACTTTGCTATGAAAATACAGTTATTTGTTCCTACCACAAAAATGCCTAGAATTAATTTTGTTTTCTATAATTTTAAGTCATATTTTTAGTCATAATGCATTATTATATGTAAATTACTTAAAATTATTAAATTTATATCATAATCTCAATATTTTATTAAAGTAAATACAGATTCTTTGTGATTTAGTTTGTTAATTTAGTGTAAGAAGAAACAAAGTCTCATGTCACCAATAGGAAATACAGATTTGTGGGTTTTTTTGTTGTTTGATTTTGATCTTTTTGAGACAGGGTCTCTTTGTAGCCCCAGCTGGCCTGGAACACATTATGTAGACCAGGCTGGCCTTGAACTCACAGAGATCTACTTGCCTCTGGCCCCTGAGTGCTGGGACTAAAGGCTTGTGCTACCACACCTGGCCTGGAGATATAGTTTTTTTAAAAAAAAATTATTTATGGGACTGGAGAGATGGTTCAGTGGTTAAGAGCATTTGACTGCTCTTGCAGAGGACCCAGGTTCCGTTCCCAGTATCCACATGGAGGCTAACAACCATCCATAACTCCAGTTCCAGGGGATTGAATGCCCTCTTCTGACCTCCACATGCTTTGCACAACATGGGTGCACTTACATACATGCAGGCAATACACTCATACACATAAAATAAAAATAATAATACGTTGAGGTCAGAAGAGGGCATTGGATTCCCCTGACACTGGAGTTACGGATGGTTGTTAATCACCATGTGGGTCCTCTGCAAGAGCAGCCAGTGCTCTTAACCACTGAGTCAGCTCTCCAGCCCAGGAAATACAGTTTTTAAAAATTATTCTTTTAAGCTGGGTGTGGTGGCACTTGCCTTTAATCTTAGCACTCGGGAGGCAGGGGCATGCAGATCTCTGAGTTCCAGGCCAGCTGGAGCTACAGGGAAGAGCCTATCTCAAAACAACAACAACAAAAACAATGAAAAACAACACAAAAACCTCAAACTATTCTTTTTTTTTTTTGAGACAGGGTCTCCCTGTAGCCCCAGCTGTCCTGGAACTCACTCTGTAGACCAGGCTGGCCTTGAACTCACAGAGATCCGCCTGTCTCTGCCTCCCAAGTGCTGGGATTAAAGGCATGTGCCACCACGCTCAGCTCTTAACTATTTTATACATTTTGAATTTGAAATGTATAAACATTATTTATTTAAAAGGAGCTATTGCTGGGCTACATGCCTTTAAGCCCAGCACTCAGAGGCAGAGGAAGGCAGGTCTCTCTGAGTTTGAAGCCATCCTGGTCTACATAGTGAGTTTGAGGCCAGCTGGGGCTGCAGGGAGACCCTGTCTCAAACAAAACAAAATAAATAAAAAATACAATAAAATAAAGGACTTACTTCCTTCTCCTCACTCCCCTCTATGATACTGTGGATGTTTGTGATGGTTGGTTAACTGTCAACTTGACAGAATCTAGAATCTTCTGAAGCTCCTCCGGGAGCACCTTTGCGGGATTATCTAGATTAAGATTAGCCTCTGAGAATGTGAGGGATTGTCTTGATTGTGTTAATTGATCAGAGAAGACCTGTTGTAACTGTGGGAGGCATCATTCCCTGGGTGGGGAATCCTGCTCTATAAAGTAGAGAAAGCAAGCTGAGCATGCATTTGATCCTCACTGTTTCCTGATTCTGGAAGCTTCGTGACCAGCTACCGCAAACCTCTGTTGCATTGACTTCCCTGCTGTGATGGATTGTGCCTTCAACTGTGTGCTAAAATAAACCCATTTCCCTTAAAAAAAAAAAAAGAAGTCGGGCAAGGTGGTACTTAGGTTTATCTCAGCACTCAGGAGTCAGAGGCAGGCAGATCTCAGTGAGTTCCAGGCCAGCCTGGTCTACTTAGCGAGTTCTAGACTAGTCAGGGCTACATAGTAAGACCCTGTTATGAAATTAATGCACATGAAATGATATACTGGCATATCTCCCAAAGAGTTCTTTTCAGGCTTAACTAGATATATGGACTATAATTACGAAGTTATTTGTAGGTATAACTAACAAGGATCCTTTCTAGGTTAAACACTTAAAATTACAAGACTGCCGTGGTTACTTGGCTTAGTGTACTCAAAGGAGTATCAAACAGGAGCAACAGCCTGGCTTCAGGGTAGCATCCAGCAGGCTTTTTAGAAGTCCTGATATAATTAAGCAATCATTTAGAAGCATTTAGAAGCATGGTAGACATTCTGTCAGTCATAGTTCACAGAGCTTGAAAGCTTAACAGAAAGTGAGGTTCAAATGCAGTATGGGAAAGGTCTTGTTTAACTCTTTCATTCTCATATGCTAAACCTATACCTTTACAATATTTTATTTAATGACGTATGTCTGACTCCCAATGTCTTTGCTTGGAATCTGAGACTGGCTACTGAAAGAGTTGTGGTATCTGTCCCTGTCAGCCTCACTGATCTCATACCAGGGATTATTTAACTTACACTTTTCAACTTTCCCACTCTGGGTCATCAAAAAATGTAGGTGGTAATGTATGACAAAGTCTGTGTTTTAGGTTTAGGTTCAATGTAGATACATCATTATTGAAAAAGCTCCTTTCCAGGTATACCCTTGTTTGAGTGAATGTGGCTTCTAGAGCAAAGGTATGTATATTTATATCTTTAAATCTTAGAAAATCTATATTTGTACTATGAAGTTTGACTTTATAAATAAGAATACTTAAAAATGTTATCAGCAAAGATAAGAGAGTTCTACCCTTTAATAAATGTGCTTGAAACCCAGAAATATTCTCAAAAGAAAATAAGTGTATACACACACACACACACACACACACACCCCTGTGTGATCAGAGTAATAATGTACCATAGTAATGGATGTTTTTCTCAGGATTCATATTCACTGGTCTTAGACCCAGTGGTTCTTTACTTGGAACCAATTTATGCTACAGGTAATCTGGTAACTCTCTTCTTTCCTTGTGAACAGAGGTACCAGTGATGTATAGGACATGTCTTTAGCACCATCAAAGTATTCTGTCCCTCTTTGCCCCTACCTGTCTTATAAGAAAGGCCTTTAATAGCTCCTGAAATGTGACCAGAACTATATTAAAGACTGTGATGGCAGTTTTAAAATTGTCAACTTGCCAAAACTTAGAATCACCTGAGAAGACAGTCTCAATTGAGGAGTTTTCTAAATCAGGGTGGTCATGTCTGTGGGGGACTGTCATGATTGTTAATTAATGTAGGAAACCCAACCCATTGTGGATGGCACTATTCCCTAGGCAAGAAGTCCTGAATATATTAAGACAGGAAAGCTAGCTGATCATAAGCAGCAAGCAAACAGGCAGCATGGGTGCATTCATTGCTCTCTGCTCTTGACTGTGGATGTATGACCAGCTGTCTTAAGCACCTGCTTCTGTAACTTCCCTGTAATTATGGACTATGACCTAGAATTATAAGCCAAATTCTTTCCCCTATGTTGCTTTTTTGTCAGGGTATTTTATCACAGCAGCAGAAATGAAACTGGAAGAAAGACAACCTCAATATCTGATAAAAAGGTTAGCCCCAATTTTGGATTTCATTTGTCTGCTTGATAAGGTTAAGGTAAATGTTGTAGTTATACTTAAAGAGGAATTTCCTTTTTCATATTAATGGAGAAAATATTGGTTTGTTTAAAGATTGCAGAAATGGGGCTGGGTGTGTTTCTCATTGATAAGAGCACTTACTTAGCATGTGTAAAGCCCAGGTTCTATCCCAACACTGCCAAAAGAGAAAAAAAATTGCAGAAATACAAATGATGATTAAGACAGTAACTGGCCTTTAATTTTCTTCTTGTAGTTCCATAATATATTGACTTCAGATACTTTCAACAAATATAGGGAGGAAAAAGTACTAGGGACCAGGGCCTTATTCATGTCAAATCTGTACATTTTCATGCCCCATGCCCCCCCACCATACTAGGGATTAAACATGGAGCCTCCTGCATTTAGACAAGCACTGTATTACTGAGCTTTACCCCAGGCCTTTTATATTCTTTATATTTAGTCTGACAATCTTTGCTATTTATTTGTTTGTTTTTTAAAAATTTTATTCATTTTTTTTTTATTATTTTATGTGTATGAGTGTATTGCCTGCATGTATGTGAGTGCACCCATGTCGTGCGTGCAGTGCCGCAGAGGTCAGAAGAGAGCTTCGGATTCTCCTGGAACTGGAGTTAAGGACGGTTCATAGCTACCATGTGGGTGCTGGGAATGGAACCCTGGTCCTCTGCAAGAACAGTCAGTACTCTTAACTGCTGAGCCATCTCTCCAGCCCCCTATTTGTTTGTTTTCAGACAGGGTCTCCTTGTAGACCTAGGTGGTCTGGAACTTGTTATGTAGACTAGGCTGGCCTCAGTCTTACAGTGATCTGCCAAGTATATGTATAGCCATTGATATATTTGGGATCAAAATATACCATCTTTATGCTGTTGGTTTCAACTATTCCATCCTTCTTGCCTTTTTCTGAAAATTTTTTAACCCTTTTATTATTATTATTTTTATGTGTATGTGTGTATTGCCTGCATGTAGGTAAGTGCACCTGTGTCATGCAGTGCTTGCAGAGGACAGAAGAGGCTGTTGGATCCCCTGGAACTGGAGTTACGGACAGTTGTTAGCTGCCATGTGGGTGCTGGGATTTGAACCTGGATCTTCTGCAAGAACAGCCAGTGTTCTTAACCATGGAGCCATCTCTGCAGCCCCTCCCTTTTTTTTTAACCTTTTAAAGTTGTTTTTAACCTTTTTAAGTTTTCCTCACTAGTTAGGAAATCATATGCTCCACTTTTATTCTTTGAGTGGAATTATAAGTTGCACAGAATTTCTTTTTTGTCTTTTTTTTTTTTTTTTTTGTAGCCACAGCTCACCTGGAGCTTGCTATGTAGACTAGGCTGACCTTGAACTCACAGAGCTCCACCTGCCTCTACCTCCCAAGTGCTGGGACTAAAGGCGTGTGCTACCACGCCTGGCAAGAATTTCTTAACTTGAATTCTTTAGAAAACAGAACCTAAGGCTAAGATTAAAGTATGGTTACTTCTTTTGGGAGGTACAGATCAGGGAAGTGAGGATTAGGAACGAGTAGGCAAAGAAAGTGAGGATTAGGAAGCAGTAGGCAAAGAAATGATGCAGTGTTAGCACAATAGCCAGGCTTCATGATGAACTGCATATAGATGCAGATATCTCCCAGCATGTGCCTGATTAGAGTGTGTATTTATCCAGAAGGCCACAAAGAGAAACACCTCTGAGCAATCCAGTGAAGGGAGGAAAAAGAAGTAATGTATTTATTTTTTGTGTGATGTGTATTAGCATGTGTGCATGCACTGTGTGTGCAGATGTATGTGCATGTGAGTACATGTATGTGTGGAGGCTGGAAGTTGATGTTAAGTATCTTCCTCTTGGCTCTCCATCTTTTTTTTTTAATGTTCATTTTATTTATTTATTTAGTTTTTATTGTGTTTATTGTTTTGATTCATCTTAGGTGTGAAAATTCAGGGGAAAGCAAAACAGAATCCTTTATCACAAATAGAACTTTGACTATGACTCTCAGCCAATGCTATTACTCAAGAGAACATGTTGATTTACACAATTCATACTTGTTTCACTGAAGATCAGCTCCACCTCACACCATCCAGATGTCATCCCCATTCTTTCCATCTAACTCTTCCCAATTATAGCTGGATTATCAGTCTCATTGTGAGGCTCCCTCAGTATATAAGCTTTCTTTTTTTCTTTTCTTTATACTTTCAACTTCCTAGACTGTGATTTTGATCTCTTGAAGTTCAGTTAGGCACTTTACATTTTCTGTAGAGCACAGGTGAAGGTACACTGGGGCTGTAGAAGAGTAATAGAAAAATGAGGGAAAACCTCTTGGTGCCTGGGAATAGGAAAGGCCAACATCAAGACTTAGTCCTGGACCATGTGTAGAATCAAGACCATAACCATAATTAAGGGAGGTGGTAAGTCAATTTTTGAGGCTCAGTCCTCCCAAGACTAGGATCTGTAAATGACAGAAGCCTCCCCTGTTCCCAAGCATAAGCCCAACACAGAGGCAAAGCCACTGCCATGCACAACCTGGCACCTTGCGGGGGATGAGGTTGTGGGGAATGTGGCCACTCAGAGAAGGCTGAAACTGCTGCCCAATGCCCAACATCAGGAAGTCCTCCATCCTCCAGTCTGCTTCTCCATCAGCCCGCAACCAGAGGAATGTGGAACCCTGGCTCGTGGTTGGACACCATAGTTCTATGTGGGAGACAGACTTGAGCCTAGGGTGATAGTGCAACTGTCAGGGTCACATGGTTTCCAGGAACTCAGGCTCTGTAACCTGAAACCCAGTATGCTAATGAGGCATCCTACCCTCTATTCTGTGATAGGACGTTGTCTGTTATGCTAATAGAATGATGCTAATAAGGTATTCTACTTGCTGTACTGTGATAAGATGCTAAACCTGTTATGTTAATAAGGTATCCTACTTGCTGTGCTGTGATTGGACCATTACCCCTATATAAGCTTGTGCCTTCCTGCAATAAAGCAGACCTGTGTCACTGAACCTGGTCTCCTGTGTCTGAACGCGGCTCCGCTGACATAGTCTCCTCACCAGCCCTGGGGTCCGGGTCTGGGCAGAAGCAGCGACAACAGAAGGCAGCACAGGGCAAGCAAAAGCTGCCTCAGCACCAGGTGAGCAGAAAAGCAGCCTCAGCCCAGGGAAGACAAAAGAGCGACCTCAGCCCAGGGCAAGCGGAGGAGCAGCCTTGACGCCTGTGAGAATGAAGGAACGGCACCCACGAGAATGGAGGAGTGGCCATCACTGGTGGTGACTGCAGCTGGTGCCCAGTGTGGAGCATGAAGCCTCCTGCCCCACAGAGATGTAACACACTGAGCTGTAACACTCGGGGCTCCCGATGCCCTCTTTGCCAGTAATTCTTCCATGGGTGCTCGCCGCTTTCATTCTTCTGGCTTGCAGTCTTTGGTTTGGTGTGTTGTTTCTGTCTCTGCCGATCATCTTCCTGAATGGCTCCTGAGTCCTTCTGGGTACGTCTTGCAGGGTGAGTGACCTCCAGTATGGGGAATAGTTATCCAGCTGCTGCTGGCCCCCGTGCTGCTGCACTGGTTTCTCTCCTCAGGAGTAGGCAAATTAGGTAATAGAGAAGGAAGTAACTAAGGTATTAGATGAAGTGCTAGCTCTTGCTCCTTGGTTAATCGATTCCTGCAGTTGGAATAGAGCAATGGGCTCGTGTGCTACTGATGGCCAGAAAGAGAGAAGTCAGGGAGGGGCGTCCATTATCTGGGCTATTCTACCCAATTGTGGCTGCCATTCTGGCCTCGCTTCGGGGAGTTCCCCACGATGCCCCTGAGCAGAATAATCTTGTACTAAAAAACATAGATAAATAAAGCAACAGGGTAGTGGGGATGGCTTGTCCCAGGTGTTTCCAGTCAAAACCACACTGATTTCTCTTATGTGGAAACGATGACTGCTGATAATGAGGTAAAAAATGAGGAATTAGGGTCTAAGGGTCCCCCTGATGAAAAACAGGAAGTCAAGATCGCCCCTACCCCACCATTACAGGGCAGTGGCTACTCTCTGCCATCTTGTATCGGCTTTAATGAAAAACAGGAAGGCAGCCTCCGCTCCACCATTATAGGGCGATGGCTACTTTCTGCCATCTTGCACTAGCTTTAAGGAAGTTCCCCTCCAGTCCATCTACCCCTCCCTTCCAGAGGAGGACTGGAAGCCCCTCCCACCTAGACCCCTCTTCTATGATACAATGGGTGATTTTCCAGTTTTTCCTGGTTACCGTCAATCAGGGACTACAGAACCCTAATGTCTGGAATCCATATTCTCATGATACTTTAAAAAAGCTGCATAAGGCAGCCATTGAGGATGGCATTCATTACCCTTGGTTTGGTCAGCTATTAGATACAATCAGCCATGCGGCCAACACCCCCTATGACTGGCAGAATATTGCCCGTGCCTGTCTACAGGGAGGTGATTTTCTCTTATGGAAGGCTGCTTATCAGGACAAATGTGAACAACAGGCAGAGCACAATAGAAATGCCAATGTTCAAAACATTGGGTTTGACGCCTTGGTTGGGCATGGCAATTTTAAAACCTCACAAGCCCAGGCACAGGGACCTCCTCGCTACTTTGAACAAGTGTGGCTTTGTGTGCTCTGTGCTTTCCAAAGTATGACGACTCGTGAGGATACCAAATTGACCAGATTGATACAAAAACAAGGTGAGCCTTTCTCTGACTTCGTTAAAAGGTGCCAACAAAGCGTTAATTAAAAAAAATCAGCCATCGGGGGGTGTAGATGCTTTGCTCAAGGAGCTTATATGTAAAGGCTGCTCTACTGAGTGTCGCCTTGCCATAACACCCATTAGACACAAGGATGTCTCTGAATGGATTCTGGCCTGTCGGGATGTGGGGACCGCTCAAGCTCATGCCATGGCTCTTGCTGAGGCACTGGCTGCTCACCAGTCATAGGCCGAGATGGACAAAGGCAAATGTTGGGCCTGCGGAGGACAGGGTCATTGGTCTCACACCTGTCATAACAAGGTACACCTGTTGTTAATGCAAGGGCGAGGCTATGCTTGTGTTTTTCCAGATAATGTTCCAGCCCCCATTTGGATCACAGCTCAAAACATCAGAATTGCCTGCAATAAAAAACCTCCCTCCACAACCACCGACCCTGGAGATGGCAGTCCTGACCCTGGAGGAAGCGACACACCTCTCATCCTCCGAGAGACCAACCCAGCGTCGCAGACCATGAAAGTGACCGGCTCCAACGGTACACCTGATAACCTGGGACGACCTTGAGTATCTCATTTCACAAGCAGAGACTATAGCCATTACTGGTATTTCCTAATTTTTGGACCCTGCATTGTTAATTTTGTTAAGGCTAGTTCAGTTAGCTGTTGCCCTGCCTCCAGATCTTGCCAGGAATGTCTCTGTAAACAAGGACCCACTGTTCCTTGCCCTTACCAACCTATAATTGGCCTCTGATGGGTTTCAACAAATTCTTAACCCCTGAGGAGGCCTTTAAACAAGCCAATACTGGATGTACTGCCTCTCCCTCTGCCAAACCACACAAAGGGACCCACCCTTCGAGGGCTGGTAGTCAATGATGGGTAAGATCCCGACAGACGGGACAACGTAAGACAGGCACAGTCCATTATGCTGGGTGACCCTTGAAGTGGGGACAACAATGCCGAGGCAAAGAATCTTGACTCCCACTGGTTGGCATGGAGTTGGCACAACCTGCTGTTAATGAAACTTGCCATCTTGAGGGAGGGAACTCTTGATACAATGACCCGCTAAGCCATTCTACTTTGCCTTGATGTATCTGGACTGATATCAATATGCTATATACCTTATCTTTAAAAATAAAAAAAGGGGGAGATGTGGGAGACAGACTTGAGCCTAGGGTGATATTGCAACTGTGAGGGTCACATGGTTTCCAGGAATCCAGGCTCTTTAATCTGAAACCCAGTATGCTAATGAGGCATCCTACCTGCTATTCTGTGATAGGAAGTTAAGTCTGTTATACTAATAGGATGCTAAGTTTGTTATGTTAATAAGGTATCCTACTTGCTGTACTGTGATAGGATGCTAAACCTGTTATGCTAATAAGGTATCCTACTTGCTGTGCTGTGATTGGACCACTACCCCTATATAAGCTTGTGCCTTCCTGCAATAAAGCAGACCTGTGTCACTGAACCTGGTCTCCTGTGTCTGAATGCGGCTCCACTGACACAGTCTCCTCACCAGCTCTGGGGTCCGGGACTGGGCAGAAGCAGCAACAACAGGAGGTAGCACAGGGCAAGCAAAAGAGTTGCCTCAGCACCAGGCGAGCAGAAGAGCGGCCTCAGCCCAGGGTGAGCGGAGGAGCAGCCTTGACACCCGTGAGAATGAAGGAGTGGCACCCACGAGAACGGAGGAGCGGCTGCCGCTGGCGGTGACCACAGTTCTAGGTTCAAGGGAGGAGACCATAGCTCCAGGTTCATAGGAAGGGTCCACAACTCCAGGTTCATAGGAACTTGTATTTATTGAGCAGGGGCTCTCTCTGAATCTGGTGCTTGCCAGTTCTCCAATTCTAGCTAATTTAGCTAGCCAGCTTGTTCTGTCATACCTTCCTGGCTTTTTTTTTTTTGAGGGGGGTATCTCTGAGGATATGAACTCACATCCTCAAATTTGTGCAGCAGATGCTTTATCTACTGAGTCATCTCCCAATCCCAGAGGTACCCTGTTTTCCTAACTCCTACCATATCCCATTAGCTATTGGCTATAGTTTGCCCACAAGGCTGTGTCTCAGATCTCATCTTTATCCTACCTCCCTCTGTCCCTCCATCCCTCCCTCCCTTCCTCCCTCCTTTTTTTCCTTCTGTTTCATGTTGCCTAGGCTGGCCTTGAACTTGATAAATAGCCCAGATGACCTTGAACTTTTTTCTATATTTCCCTTTTTTTTCTTTCTCGTGTATATGTATGTGGGTGCATGTTTGCCATGGCATGCATGATGAGGTTAGAAAATAACTTGAGGAAATCAGTTCTCTCTCTCCACGATGTGGGGTTTCAGGGATCAAACTTAGGTTGTTAGGCTTGGAGGCAAGCCTGCTGAGCCATCTTGCCAACCTGACCTTGAACTTCTAATTCTTTACGTCTGCCTTCTAAGTGCTGGGATTGTAGGTGTGTGCTACCATACTTGGTTTTATGTGGTACTGAGGATTTACCCCAGGGGTTTGTACATGTTAGGCAAGCATTCTACCAACTGAATTACATCCCCAGTTCTCATCTTAATAGTGCAGTGTTGCAAATAACCCTAAAAGGTGCAGGGGCAACTCAGGACAGATTGGCTTGGTGTCTTCAGTTTGGACTCCAACTAGCCTAGGAAGGAGGACAAAGGCAGCAGTGCTAGAGTAGGAGGTAGGCACCAACTTTGGAAAGAAAGGACTCTAAGAAAGGAATCTGAGAAGGCATTAGAAGCTTGTGTCTGATATTCAGACAAAATTCTGAAATCTAAAGTTAATATGTTCTTTACCCTCTCTGTAGACAGTAAAAGGACTAAAACAATCTTAGTTCATTTAACTTCCTTGTCATATATATGATTGTAATATATTTAATTTTTCCCATTTACAAGACATTAATATTTATTTAACAATCAACAGTTATTAAGATTTAA